AAAACACTAATAAACGCACTTTTTGTTATAAATTGCAATTGTAAAATTCAAACTGCACAATTACCCTGTCACTGTCAACCCAATCAAGCCGAAAGCGCGTCTACCAACCCCTTGCACCGCCGGAATGGGGCGTGGCGCGTGATATTGGTTTTCCAATTACCGAAAAAATCGTTTAATTATCAACAGAAGCAAATGAATCAAATGAGAAAATTTGGGTTATACACAGCAACTGGTTCGATCAACTGCTGGTAAATTGCCAAATTCGAAGTAGATATATGAAAAAATGCAAAAGTTAGAAAGGGAACTTTCTAACCTTATTCTTCTCTGTTGTGCAGGAAACTCAATCACCGTGTATATACTGGGTGGCCTGCTACTGCTGCTCCAGAAAACAAGTGGGTGGAACTGTAAAATAGAAAACAATCGGCGTTATGCGGGTGACACCGCACTCTTAGCAAACAGACGACCGATTGCTGTTTGCTCAGAGAGCTTTTGATTCAGACAGTGAGCTGATGAGGTCAAAAGGCCATTTGTAAGCTGCCAAAGACAAAGGCGAATAAAGGCGTCGAGGCGAAAAAAAACCGAACAAATATTTCACAATTCCGGCGTTTTAACCATAGTTTATAATACTCGGTGTAAAGTCTTGGGGTGATGTAGCACAGTAGTTACATCAATATTCGAGTGGATGCGCTGCTCTTGGCAAAGGGCATCAAATTTATGAGACCATGTTTATAGGCTCGTGGGACAAGTAGAGCCTGGCCGTTCCTTTCTTTAATTCCGCCTCTGGTCTGACTTTATGGGTTTCCCGGACGTGCCAAAGATATACAACAAACGCTTTCCTTTGCGCTTCCGTTTTTTCGTGTCCTCTTGCTGTGGCCTCGACACTCAATGAGCGCAAAATTAAGACAAATAACCGGGCCTCATTTGCCGCATATCTAAACATAAGGCTGCCATTTCACTTAAAACCAATTAAGGGTGGGCCGGCGGATAAAAGCCGTTGATATTATTTGCTGGTAACGACACACTATTATATCCATCCTTAGTGCGGGCGCCTGGCCCGAACGACTCCATTCCCAACACATCCAATGGAAGCCAAGGCAATAAAGACGAACTGTTGAGCTTCAGCTCTGCATTAAGACTACTCAAGCCCCTGTGGACCCGCACTACCGAAATCATCCCTGATAATGCCAACATAATGGGGCCTTTATAGTGTTCACAAAAGGAATCCTGAGTGCTTTATCCAGCTTAGCGCTATTGTGCTTATATTAAACACTTCAAATTTGCGTGTCGTTTCACTACTAAGCCGCCGGATTATCGGGGATGGTTTTTTAAAGGGAGTGGGACATGGCTGTCACTTTGTCAAAACCCTTTTGCGATGGGATTAAAGTTTATCATTTGGAAATTTCAACAACATCAACCCGAGTGTTTGATCGAAATCCTCTGTCCCAAACTATTTGACAGTGACGTCATTTTGTAATTCACTAATTTACTCAAACTTTCTTTTCATTTGTTAAGTGTTACGAAGTTTACATATTTTTCGATAGGCAAGAGAATAGAAAGAAGAGATAGGCAGTTCAGCATTGAAATGGTCACCATGAGAACATTTCCCAAATGAGTTGAGCAACTTGTTTACAAGCTGTGAGAGTTTCGAATTGCGATCATCATCAGGGTATTTTACACGAATTTTCTCAAACATGTTAAATCTCCAAGAGTGGTTTCCACAATAAAAGTCAATTTTGCCAATCAATGGAGAGAAAGCACTCGAGCTGGAACCTGGAGGTTTTTTGAGAGGCGAAGCGTCTAGATCATAGGCTTAGGCCTGGGTAACTCAATGAATTTTTAGGAGTTGGCGTAGTGCCACGCAAATTGCTTGGTGCGCTAACCCACCTCTCCGGCGCAGTTCCGTTGCTGGGAAAATGCTGATGACTTTTTTAAATTGTTTTTAGTTTTTTTTTAGGGCCATTTATCAATAATATTTTTTAAATTTCTTCAAAATATCAGTATTTTTCCAGCTTTAGCAGTCATTATTTTTTCTAAATGTTCAATTTTCAAAAAATTCATTTAGAAATACTGACAATCTTCAGGTAGTTTCCGCGAAAAATTATGAAACAATTTTTTTTAGAATACTCCTTCGTCCCATGGTAAAAAGTTTCAAAATCCCTTTACGTATTTGGGACAAGAATCAAATAATTTTCAATCAAAGCACGAACAGAATCAGCGAAAGTTTATCATAAATTATTTGAAAAAACCTCCATTCCTCTGAAGACTGTAGAGTTTGTTAAAAAATGTGTTTTTTTAGTTTTGACTGATCTTTTTTGCTTAACTTTCCACTCAAAACGCTCTATTTTGAGAGTTTTACTTAAAAATACTGACGATCTGAAGGTCTTTTACTCGAAAAATTTACAGGATAAATCTGTAGCTTTGCAGGAATTTTATAAAAACTTATTTCAGCGTCGAATTCGGGACGAAACGAAAATAAATTTCTCCGGTTTTTTCCTGAAAATCATTAAGATTTTCTCAAAAACCGATCACAAAACTAAAAGTTATTAATCAAAAACGCAAAAAATGTAATTTTCAGATAATTTTCTTCTTTTTTGACAATAATGGAGTGTTTTTAGTCAAAAATTACAAAATTAATCATGCTAGAAAATTCACCTCATTCATCGATTTGCAGAGAACTTTAGAAAACCCTTTTCAGCTTTGAATTTGGCACAAAAACCAAATAATTTTATTAAGCTTTTAACCAAAAGTAATTAAAATATCTTGAGTAAACGGCCAGAGCAAAAAACAAATATTTGGAAAATTCGCCACCCACACCGCTGTGAAGATGTTTCAAGTGCCTCTAAAATTTCAGGTTATTCCAGTTTTAGAGAGTTTCTATTAAGCAATTCTTGCTACGCAAAAAAACGTATGATTTTTAGTTTAACTTAAAATATTGACAACATTCACGTATTTTTTGTGAAAATTAAAAAATAAATTTTATTGGAACACTCGGCTCCTGAACAGCTTTGTAAATGTTTTTCTGGAACCTTTTGCCGCTTCGAATTTTGGACAAAACCCTAATAATTTTTCTGGATTTTTCTCAAAAATATTTCCCCGAACAGAACAAGTGAACGTTTATAATCAATTATTCGGAAAACTCATMACTTTCGTTGCTGTTTTGGTTTATTTAAATTCCGGTTTCTTCACTTTCAGGTCAATATTTYTAAACAAAACTCTCTCTAAACAGAACAACGCGTTTTTTCGTAACGTTTTACTGTAAAATGCTGGCAAACTGMGACTCTTTTATGCAAAAAAGTTRAAAGATGGGTTTTCAAGAAAGGTCGCATTTACAGTTTGGTCTTTTTTTCGTCTTTTCGCAATCGTATGCGCAAAAGCAATATGTTGATGGCTTTTTTTGTTAGATGTTAAAATTCCGTCATCGGCCATGAGCTATAACCCGTTAAACAATGAGTTAAAACTCATTAACTCAGAGAGCGGCAACAACTCAAAAGCGCAACTCAACACAGTGTTACTCAGGCTTACGCAGGCTGTAAAGGTTCCAAAACCTTGCCGTCAACGCAAATAGGTAGATAAATGCGACAAAAACTTGAAAAACGCTTAAAAAACTTTGAAAATTTCGAATCACCAGGGATTCTCAGAGGAATCTTTGTCCTGCCATCTAAGGCAGAAGTTTAATTGTTCGGCTAAAGCGGTATTTATAGCTCACCATTACGACATTTAAATTGTGTTTGAAATAACCCCGATTTTAAATGTTCAATACCCGCATGTGGCGGGCTCGATGTTTCCTGCCTTGAACGCGCTGCCCGCACAGTTGTTGAATCCTGCAGCTCTTTATAGTAGACCTACTGCTGCAGGGATGGCGCCATCAGGACGAATTTCGCAAGGAAAACAGGTCGATAATGCGGTTGATTATTAATCAAACAATTATAGATACGCATGAGATCAGTTCTAATCATTATCCGACTATCAAAACACGTAAAATGTACAGGGGAGGGTACAGGAAAAATCATCTGTTTCATGGACCTGGGGATTTTCGTTTGGCGTATCCACTTGGGCGACAATCTCTGAAGATGCTAGCCATGCGTGCTAGAGAAACGTCAGCACCAAATTGTTTAATTGGTTTTTAGTTCTGGGAATTTTTTGCCTCCAAAGGATTTAATGTTTCAAGTCAATGGCTACCCGAAAGGAAGACAAATTACACAGACTATGTGCTATTATTCAAAGCGTGGATTATGCGCTAATACTTACAATGCGACAAAAATTTGCGAAAACACTAAAAACATGTGCTATAAGCGATTAAAACACTAATAAAAGAGTTTTTTGTTCTGTCTTCCAAAGTCAAAATTCAAACTGACAGCACATTGGCCCTGTCACTGTCAACCCAGTCAAGTCGCAACCGCTTTTACCAACCCACCGCCATTTGAATGGGGCGTGGCGCGTGATAGCAAGTCTTTCAAACAATTCAGTATTTATTTATGATAACAAGTTCAATTACCGAAATCATTAAAAAATGAAACCGAATGCAATGAAGCAAATAAGTAAAATTGAAAGGAGGCTATAACTATTAACAAAGTAATCAACAGCTGGTTTTCCTTACTCAAGGATTTTCGAGTCAAATGCTGCTGATGGCTGGGGACGTTCCAGTGCCTAGCTAGGGCTCCGCCCCTGTTCAAATTCTTCAATCGATCCCGCCATGAGTCAGGTGGAAATCGCAGTGCGCCTTGCGGGGAGTCACACATGGTCGCGCCTTTTTAGAAATCGCGCGTAACAAACCCCACGCTTTTTCGTCACACCATTGACTCCAATGGTATGCCACCAACAGCATGGGTAGAATTTTTAACTTGAATGGGCGACGGATTTTTTGGTAGGTTTTTTCCTAAAGGTTTTTCTCAGGGAAAACACCTGTGTTAGGGCCTCTTGTGGGCTTGCTTGGCTAAAAGCCCCACGTTGTTCTTTTAAATCGTTTAAATGTGCCTGAGCCCGGACGCGCCGCCGCTGGCCGCTCCTAAACGTAGATGAACGTAGCCAACCTCGACCGCGACTTCCTTTCAGAATTCAGAAAACAAGCGCAATCGGAGCACCTCGTGAGCACCTTTTCGCATTTAGTTTTAGTACCAGTTCGACGTTCATCTTGGTGGGCTTTTCGTGCGAAAAATCAGCAACCAGTGAAGTCAAATGTCCGTGTCATAGTCAAATCGGGCGTGTTTTTCTGACGATTTTCTATTGATTTTTTTGCGCTCCAGTGGCGAAGCTGTGCAGACACACTCTCGAGGGCGATGGAGTTCCGATTCGATTTAAATGAGCTGTTCAAACAGCCCATCGTCGAAGTGGGCAACACTTTGATCCCGCCTGGATTCACTGGGGATAAACGGGCGTTATGGTAAGTCGCTCCCCTTTGTTGGTAACCAAAACACAGCCCTTATTGACCTTAACAGTCCCGAGATTGTTCGGGTGTTTCCAGGACAGGGCTGGAAATCGGGGCAAATCCTTGAACTTTTCCGGTAATCGGCAGTTGCGTGGCCCAATTTGATTCTCCACTATTTGATCAATGCCCTGTTTGCGTCATAAGGCCGAGACGGGAAATTGCGAGTACATCCACCCGCCAGCCCATTAACCCAATTCCGCCGGTTTTCAACGGAAATTCGCCTAATTATGGTTATCATGGGCGTTTCAAATTGCC